ACGTCCTCGTATATGTAGGTTACGCGTGATTTTGTTTTGTTTCGCACGAATCCTTCGCAAGATCGTCAAGTATAAGTATAAGATTCGGAGTAACGTTATCGTTCTTTTGGCGGGACGTGCTGCCTAATTACTCGTATAATTGCATATGCTTACGACCAGGTCCTTCTTCGCCTCTCTTCATAACCTCATTTCCTTCTCCCGAGATCCCGTTTCACGTTCACGGACGGAAAAAATGAAAATATGATTGATCTATGCACCCCTCCACTCAATCATGATCGTCGTTAGACGATTTACGTCCATGTCCGCGCGGTATCGCATCCCGGAAAGGAACTCTAATTACTTTGTCGTTTTTCAAAAGAAAAAAAAAAAAAAGAAAAGAAAAGAAAAGAAAAGAAAGAAAGAATACATCGTTAACAGCCAGCCCTGTATTCATCAAACGATAATGGTCCGTCACCATCCTCCGTCGATTTCAGTAACAAACGAGGATGATGATTGATCGCGACTGTTCTCCACTCGGAGCATCGCGTGCATGTCTGAATAAATCGTACATCCGATGCGCAACAGATTTCCTACGGAACTCTGGGATCGGTAGAGAGGCGGTTCTGCTTATTTTTCTTTTTTTTTTTTTCGCGTGTGAAGGAAGAACGGCGGGTAACCGCGAGATAGAAACTCGGTTTCACGTTTAAGACCGATCGATTAACCGCGCGAAGGAAACCACAATGTAGCATGTGGTTTCATCCGCGTCAAATATTCGTGGTATTCTTGAAATGGTCGTTTTAGAAAGCGGCTATACGACCTTCGAAACAAATCGACCGATAAATTATTCCTATATCCTCGATTCCGTGCTGATCGAGCCAACTATTCGAAGAGTTATCGAAGGGAATCGGAAAGAGATACGAGTTTTAACCCCTTTGGAGACTTAATTATACCGGTTCTATGTTTCATCAGTGGCACGAGATGGAGGCGGTAAATTAATTTCCACGATTTATCCGCGTTTCAACGGGGATAATCGGCGGCGTTCTTCTATGGACCACGAGGCGATAATCGCTATAATTCTATCCATATTTATGATTGGAAACGCTGTGAAATTAACTTCGGTCTTTCAGCCTTCTACTCCCTCGCATGAATATTTCATTCGCGGCAAAACGCGACTGCAATTTCCATGATTTCTCGATTCGTTTCACTCCCGTGGAAAAATAAATGATGGGATAGAATGGTTGGCCGCTGTTCAATCTTCCACACTCTTAATTTCTACTTGAAAATGTTTATCGTTACTTAATATCGTATTATCCCGATTATTGAGAAGCGGTAGGTAGTCGAATCGCCGGTCGTTTAATTACGACCACTGTCTCGGCGCGGTGTATTTTGCTCGAAGAGATCTCAAAGGGATAAATCAGACCCGAGGCTACCGTCTTTCTTTCTTTCTTTCTTTCTTTCTTTCTTTCTTTCTTCGATCACGGCTGCCTTTTGCCTCGATATCGAACCGGACGAGCGTGCAATTATGTCTAGAGCCTTGCGATTTTCTTTGCAGGAACGATTAAGACCACCTACGTACAACGCCGAGGACTACGCGATCGCTCTGAGACGATGGGGAAGACGTCCATTAGGAAGTGTTCAAGACTCGCAGGGTACCCTGCCGTCGACAACCAGTTCGAGTTCCGGTTACGCTTCCGGAAGCGGAGAGATGACCTTGAGACAATTCACCTCGGTTAGCGAGCTTCTGAACAAGCTCAGAGCGGACCTCAGGCTAGCCTTTCCAAGGTAGGTATATATATATAAATACACACACACACACACACACACACACACACAC